TCCCCCTGACTCCCGCTTTCCTTCCTCCTGACTCCCGCTTCCTGTCACCTCATCCCATGATCCCTTACACCTGTCCACCCCCTCTTAGAAACTAGCCTTACCTTTATGTCTTTTTTATCCTTAATTTCATGTAATAAATGATTTATGTGAATGATTGTTACAGTTTATAAATTTTGTGCGTCCAAAGTGCGTCTCGGCAACGCTTCAACATAAACATTTGAAGGCCAGGGATATAAAAATACGTTGAAATGGACACACAAATATAGCAAAATGCAGCTTATTCTTATTAAGGTCAGGATACCTGATATCAATTTTATCAGTATATCAAAAACTTTGCGGGATGTTTGGGGATGTTTTTCCTACTTGTATGTATGCAGGGTTTTAGACAAGCTTTAAATGACATAGATCAACAGACGTGCACAATTTGTACCCACTGCAAATCCGAATGTCTGTTGGAATATCAACACTTAACTAGTATTTATGTATTTTTGATAACATTTACGTCATCGTGTTGTTATTGGAATTACTACGAACATAAGAATGGTATTTCTATTCTCATTTTTATAGAGGAAACACTGTTTAAAGTGTAGATTTCCTCTTAATTCAGAATATCATGAATATGAAGTCAGTATTGCAGAGTGCAAACATTTCAAAATGTTGACATTGGTTCAAAATTCATATGTTTTTGCTTAAAGACATTTTCGTAAATCTGTTTAGAATGTCCACGAATCAGCAAGCGATGACACTGCTTGTACAGTATTTCTCATTACAATACGTTTGTAGGCTCTCAATTCCGAAATGTTGATGTCCCTGTCCAAGGTCAAGAGTCTTGTCAACGGTTTTCTGACGTAACAAATTCGGAGGACTCTGCGTAATTGTTTCACTAATTGATCGAAAAAGATTTAGATAATTGTAAAGACACTTGTCTATGAGTGAAGACTGTATCGTAACTGGTACATATAGTTTAAGAGATCTTTTTTTTGCTGTTGTTGTTTGTCGTTTTGTTTTGTTTTATTTTACAGCACTGGGTCGATACCTCTGAAGGTGGACTATCAATGTCAACATTTTAAAATTGTTTTTGTTGGTTTTGTTTTGTGGGGGGGACCTAGTAGATCAAGCTATGTAAGAATAGAAAAAAAACACTTCATAAATTGCATGCGTCTGAAGCGCTTTTCTGGAATTACCTTCATCAGGAACTCTCAAAGCCTAATATTGTAAAGACGCAGATAAATAAAAACCTAAACAGTTGAAAAACTATATAAAAGAATAACAAAGGATATGGGGTATCTATCCATGACACAAAATCAGTACATGCACAACAAAAAAAAAAAACAAAAAAAAAACATACACACAAAAAGCAAAAATAACCTAAAGTAACAGCCAAATATACTTAAGGTTAACTTTGCATGAAGGAATTGAAATCTAAGTTTCTTTATAATTTCAAAATTAATAAATGGACAATTTTCAAGAAAGGTTTGTTATACATCATATCAGTACCGAAGTACTGAATACTTAGCTGATAAAACCCTCGGAGACTGATAGTCCACCTTCAGAGGTATCAACCCAGTGCTGTAAAACGTGAAAACAACACGTTATATATTTAATGTCATGCGTCCAAAGAACTTTTCTTGATTAACTTTCATCAAGAACGCTCAAAGCCGAATATTTGAAAAACAAGGCTGTATCAGAACCAAAACAGTTGAAGAGCTTTATAACCAAATAGGAACTAAAAAAAATCATCTTAAGAGCAGACATGACCACACTTAGAGCCAAACGCGGACAAGAAATCAAATGATTGAATAAATGGTATTGTACAATATATTAACTATCTTTGATACGAACACATGCCTTGAACTGCAAATGCAAATCTTTTAAATGGAAAATCGTTAATACAGCATAAAGAGACATTTACGGTTAATCAGACGATAACCGTTTGGAAACTAGAGTTTATTATTTTTGTAATCATCTGGATGATCGAGAATACACAAAGGAAATACAGTGGACTTATTCAAATATGACAATCATATACAATTTGGTATTAATTAGACAAATGCTTTTTAATAAAAGATTAAATTATAAATGTGATAAATGCTTTCATGTATATAATGAATTATATTTTCTAATTTATTCTCTTTTTTTTTATTGTTTCCCATTTGTTACATGTTACCTTCTGTAAATTCCTCCTCTATCAAGTGAACCTGGAAATCTTCCAGTAGTTGTTTTATATCTATGTTCCACTATAGTACACTATTTAACAAGTCTGTTTTCTTCCACCTCAATACCACTATTAATTTTGGTTAATTAGTTAAAAAAATTAATTTAGTTTATAGTAAGTTTACTGTAGTAAGAAAACCAGGACGGATTCGAACAGATTTAGAAACCATAGATAACTGTGTACCTCACAATCATCAAATGACATTAGGAATACTAAAAACCAGGCTAAAAATATGGCATAGGTACCTTAATTCAGTCACGAATCCGCCATGTCGCGGGTGTGTTCTAGTAGCACTTAAAGATTATTCGTACTCATTAATTGTTTATATTTATACATAGAAGGTTTTCGCCAATAATAAGGTTTAATAAAATAAGATCTCAAGTTGGGAAATTTTAAAATGAAATATATCTCATCCGCAATGTTATCCTTACACAAACTACAGAATCTATTACTTCTAGAAATTGCAGTGTAATGTCCACATTCTATAGCTAAACTATGTCCTATTTTATTAATACATGTCTTATAAATAACTGGTATTGGTTTACAAAAGTAATATTGTAAACAAAAATGTTGAACCATATATTTATAACTTGTAACTAAGTTACTCAGTTGGCTGTCAAAATCTTGCCTCAGACAATCAAACAGGCGCTGTTTGATTATCAAGTAGTCTATAAAGCACTAGAGAACTTACTCTCTATAAAATAACCTTGATTTATCCAAATATCAAATAAAACCTATACTAAGCAGCCCCTTGTTGATAAAATTACAACCAATTTGTCTTATTATTTAGAAATTTTTGTAAATCGTCATATAAAAACAGTGACAGTTTTTTAAAATTACAGTTTGTGGAACATATCAGCTAAAACCAGTATTTAAAAATTCTACATTTTCTGTTGTGCAATAATGGCAATCTACCTAGCTCATTATACACCATTCCATTACTAGTTGAGCTTTTTACTTTCATAATATGTTTACATTAGCCCAAATGTATCCTTTCTATAGCTGTTGTTTTATAATCACCCCATATTTCGCAGCCATAACAAAGTACATTAATAGTATACGTATCAAAAAGTGAAAGTTAAGTAACAAAATTCAAAAAATATCATTTATATTTCTCCTTAAGGCAAAATCTGCTTTTTCTGCCCTGTTTCGGGACTTTCCGCTGCAACAGATTATACTTGCAATTAAAATTTAACAATAAACCAAGATAATTGTATTTTCCCGCGGTTCGTATAGTAAAGCGGAAAAATATTGTATTGTCGTTACATTTTCATAAATATTCATAAGGCATTACAGAATTGACCAATCATGAAGTCGCATTTTGTGTTACGATATATTGGTGTTTTTTCAAGCGCTTCACTTTCAATATAGTAATCTCCTTTTTATAATTGCTGATTGCAATTAAAGTTGTTTTTCTGATTTTTTTTACTTATATACGTATTCGCTAATTAAAGGTGTGGTCCGACACTTGTATCCTAAGATAGGTTCGAGCATTGGCATCGGATACAGGTTTCCATTCATAATCATATATAAATATTGATTGTTGGTTTTTCCTGGACGGCCTTGACTATCTATGAAGGGTAAACATTCAGAAATATAAGCGAATACACTATTGATACATTGATATTTAATACATTGTATATGTTTAATCTTTGTAAAATGTGTACTGCTGGAAGTTATTTGAGATACAAATTACATACGGCGTCTATCACGTTCGACGGGCGGTCGGCAAATTTACATATTGTGTTTTAGTTATATTTAGTCATGGAGTATAGGTAATACATAAACTTATCTACAACTTCTATTTCCTAGTTATTAAAATATCATTTTTCATTTTCATGTATTTTTCACCCTTTCTGAAAACAACAATTTTTGCTATATTAACACTAAGCAGATATAAGAAGATGTTGTATGAGTGCCTATGAGACAACTATCCATCCAAGTCAGAATTTGTAAAAGTAAACCATTATAGGTCAAAGTACGGCCTTCAACACAGAGCCTTGGCTCCAATCGAACAGCAAGCTATAAAGTGCCCCAAAAATGACTAGTGTAAAACCATTCAAACAGGAAAACCATCGGTTAAATCTATATAAAAAACGAGAAACGAGAAACACTTATGAACCACATCAACAAACGACAACCACTGAACATAAGTGACCATTTGGAGGTATTATCATACTGAGTACGTTAACTTTGTAAACAAGATACAGTTTCTGAAAAAAAACCATATTGTCAGCGCCCATTGGTAAAAATAAATTCAGTTCCTTTACCTCATAAGGAATAGAGTCATTATTTATAAAAGCCATTTCACAGTCGATGACATACATTGAAAAAATATGGGGGATAATACTTCATCTTGCATTAAACCTAATTTGTTAGTAAAATAATCAGAAATATACCCATCAACACCTACACCAGTACTGACATTAGGATACATTGCTTTGATAACCATTAAAAAATTACCTTGAATACAATAGTTTTATAGTTTATACCATAACATATATCTTTGAACAATGTCAAAAGCTTTCGTGTAGTCTACAAAACAACAATAAAAACGAAAGATGTTAGAGCAAACATAATATCTACTGTACCAAGACATGCACATTTATTAGTACTTTTGATATCATTTTCTATATTTAAGGAAAACAAAATAAAAATCAGAAAGCAAACGTAAAAGATCGAAATGATGAAAATAATTGTATTTTATTTGATACAGTAAAGAGGGATAATTAATAAGATAATTCACAACAGAAAGGAGAAAAAATAATTCAATCAATTTACTTACTTGGCTGTGAATCTATAACATAATGGTACATAAAAATAACCAAGAGTCTCATCAACGATGACATCTTACACGTATACAGACACAACACATGGTACTCATCTAGTCACTGTAGTGCAAACCAATTTGAAACTGAATCGAATATTGGAAAATATAACTATTGCAATTTAATTTTTAAATTCAGTAAAAATCTGTTGTCTTCTTCAATTTCGCCTTTTTCAACTAGCTAACACATCGATTTGGGCTTTTATTACAAATAAAGAGCTGTCGAATTAATTGTTTGAACATATATTATTCATTGATACACACTGAAGTGTGCAGTATTACGTGGTACTTCAATTTAATCCTTTGTTCGAATAGTTGTCTTATCGGATGAAACAAAAAAAGGGCAATCGGAAATCATTTATTTTTAAAAAGCTGTAAATTTTCAAGTATTTTAGCTTCCAGCATCACTAAAGATACAGTTATTATCGAAATGCACATCTGGTGTACAACAATTGGTGCCGTTAATGTTACTGCAAACGGCCAAAAGGCTACAATTAAAAAATGGAGAAATCAAGCAACACTTTGAGGAATGATTGAATGTTTGATAAAACGAACCCAACCAAAAACTAAAATTATATCAAATGACAACAATAAGTAATTAGTAAAAGTTCAATGATAAGTTAATATTGATATTAAAAGACCTTCAAACAAAAAGGGATATTGAGATCCCCGAGCCCGAAGAGCGAGGGGATTTGAACAGCCTTTTTTGTGAGAAGGTCTTTTAATGTCAATATTAACTTAATCATTGGACTTTTACTGACTTACAAACCGTCAAAACACAAGAAAAGTACACAAAAAAACACGTACAGAAGCCTCATTCCGCTGAATTGGACGAACCTAAATATATTCAACTTAAATGATAGTTAAACAGTACTCAGATTGGAAACGGACCGAATAAATGGCAGTACATCATTTAATTATTTATTTATTATATTTATTTATTTAAGAAATAATTCATGGGGGCTTGAATATATCGTGATTTTACCACGGGTTGGCCCTTTATGACAAATATTTTACCCTGAGCGATATATAAAAGCCCCCATGAATTATTTCGATTCTAATAGGACAAATACGGCAATTCTTTTGGATCGAAGCGTTCCCATAAATAAACGCACTATTAAATTGACGTAAAAGAACGGAGCAAACTGAATAAATGGCATGCGTAAACTATTTACAATGACATATTTAGATAGGTTTGGATGAATCTAAATGATAATTGTATTTATATGTCTTATATGTAAACAAAAAATGGCTTATATAACACATTATAGCATCGTTTGTTTACGTTTCCTTGTTGTGATGATTTTCGGTTTCACAAGCATGTATTTTCCCGTAAAATGCTTATATTCTTACGTCATCGTTCTATGACGTCGGGTAGCTCATTCATAAAAAAGCATATGACGCGGGATCCTTCAAGTTTTTGTGTCTTTTATATGCTATGATCGGAGGTTTTGGAAACATAGTTTTTGTGCTATCATTTTGTTCAATTAGGTGCCAATGTTTTTTTATTGCTTTATTAAGTCCATTGAAGGAAGGATTAAATTTGGTGGCTAAAACTAATGGAGGCATTGCTCTTTTGTTTTTAAGCTTGTACCTTAGACAATCTTTTCTTTCCCTATGCAATGCCTTTGTTATTATGGGGTTTATATCCTTTTCCGAGTATCCCCTATGGAGAAGTTTTGTTTTGAAAGTTTCAATATCTTTTAGTGTATCATTTTTGTTATTTGATGATCTCATAAACCGCAATATTTCTGCAGTAATAAATCCATTGAACACCGATGATGGGTGAGCTGACGTTCTTTCAAGATACTGAAAGTTATCAGTAGGTTTACGGTATAGTTTTACGTCTAATATATTATGATTAAGGAATCTGTTTCCTTTAAAAATTGTGACGTCAAGGAATTGAATGCTAGTGTGTGATATTTCATGCGTAAATTTTATTAACGGGTGTATATTATTAGCAATGTTAAATAATTCAGTAAGATTATCTTGACTAGAATTAAAAAGAATGAATCCATCATCTCTGTATATAGATAACAGTGCTAAGTTATCTTTAAAAGGAAATATATCAAGAATAATCGTTATAATTTCAAACATTCTGAAATCAGCCAGGGATGGGCTCATTGGGGCTCCCATTGGGAATATACATGTCTGTCCGAATATCAAGTTATTAAATTCAAATTCATTATTGCATAGAATGAATTGAAGTATTCTTAAGAAGTACTTTTTTGGTGGTAGAGGTATTTCATGTTTATTACGACATATTTTGTACCATGCTCTGTCAACTGCTTGCAGTATTTCATCGTGAGTTAAGGAATTGTACATACTAGTTATATCAAAAGTGCACATAATTATGTCATCCGGTGCCCTTATTTGTTCTATTTTGTTAATAAATGAGGTTGTGTCCTGTGTATAAGTCCATAATTGGCTAACTACTGGTTTTAGGAAGTAGTCTATAAATTGACCAATTTTTTCAAGTGGACTATTGCATAATGATACAATTGGTCTCCCAGGAGTATCAATATTTTTGTTAGTTTTGATTTTTTCTCTATCTTCATGGTTAATTTTGTGAATTTTAGGCAACATATAGAGTCGTCCCACTCGTATATTGGCATTATTGGCTAGGTATTTATATGTTATATCGTCGATATATTCTTTCTTGTGTAGTTGTTTGATCATTTTTTGAATAGTTTCGGATATTTTGTTCGTATTAAATTCATGAATTTGCTCATAGCATATACTGTTGTTCAGGAAGTTCAGTGTTTGTTTAATATATAGATTTTTATCCAGAACAACAGTAGATGAATTTTTGTCAGCTTTCTTAATAATTATATTATTATTTGAACGTAAGATTTTGAGTGCCGCTCTCTCATGTTTAGAAAGATTATTTCTAACTTTGTTTATTTTTAGTCTGCATATTTCCATCTTTGTGGCAAATAGATAATTTTCTATTGTGTTGTTTGCTAAAGAGGGTTTGAATCCCGATTTGATTCTAAAAGGATGATTGGTGTCCGCATTAGATTTTTCACTAAAGTGATATTTGCATCGCATTTTTCTGCCTAGTTCGTCAAAATCTCGTAAGAGATTTTGTTTAATGTATTTTACATCAGGACTGGGAATAAATTTTAATCCCTTTGCAAGAACTAATATTTCATATTTTGTGAGATTTTCACGTGAAAACACTTCTATATAGTTTAAAGCTTTTCTTACATTTTCATGAAAGTTTTTTGTGCGTTTAAGATGGCCTTTGTTATTATTATGTATACGGAGTTTACTTTTGTATTTTATTAATCGTTTTGTCTGATCCCTTTTCCTGAGAGATCTTTTTCTATTACTCATAGTAATATATTTTTTTAAATTTCTTTCGTGACAAAACTACTTTGTTTGTTTGTATAATTATTTCAACTCTAATTGAGAGATGAAATGAATATATATAACATTCAACTCTATTTGAGAGATGAACTGTATTTTACTAATTCTACTCTATTTGAGAGATGAATTGATTTGTATTTTGTTTAAATCTATTTCAAAAATTATACATTGTATATGTAAACTCTGTTGAAGTGTTTGTTCACTTCTGCGGCAATCAATGTGTACTGCAAATATACACAAAGAATTACCACGTGCATACATTAGTCTAAGACTTAGATTCTGATTGGATATTCCAATGTTCCCACGTCACTCGTAACAAACAATAAAGTTCGTCATTTGTATTCTCAATCTGATTGGTTGTTCCGTAATTAGTGTAGATCAGTTACTACGTCATCGAACCATCTAACTCTTGTCATGTGTGTGTATTTTATTAAATAATGATTTAACACTTAATTGTTATTAAACTAGTAAGATACAATCTAATGCTAATTAAATTCCTTTATATAAATAAGTAATGATTTAGACAATACTATTAAATTACGATATTAATATTATCATTCTAAAAATAAATAGAGGTAATTGTGAGACAGATATAATCTATTCGTGTAAAGATAAGGGTTGTTGATGAAATTGCTCTGTTTGCCCTTGCGTAGTCATGTGTATAATCTATTGATAACAATCATGCTACGTGTGTATGATATTTGTAAAGTTACGTGATTTTAGTAAAGATGTTGTAGATAATCAATATACGAACGAACTATAATTTATAGAATATTTGTACCTAGATAGTACGATTATAATGCTCATTGCTAAAACCATACGAAATTAAATGATTGCAATTTTAAGTATAATTTCTTAAGCGATCTTTTTATCAATAGCTGCCATTGATGAGTAGCAATTAAAACAAACTTATTAAACTACAATAATTCAAAGTTTCCTTGATTTTTAAATGCCTAATGAATATATAGTTATGTGATAATTAATTCTAATCAATAAGATAAAACTACAATATTCAAAGTAATCAGACCTGTTTTAATAATCAAATAAAATACATCCGTTTATAGTTGAATAAAAGTTGATATCCATCTTGTATTATAAAGACACTTTGTTTAACATTGAAAACACATAATTCCACTGAAATACGTAAGAATATTAATGCACTTGTCTTAGTAATAATTATTACGGAAGTTTCTGCGGCCTCTTCCACGGTTCCCACGACCGTATCTGTTACCCAGAACATTCTTAAGGTCATCAATTTCCTTTTTCATCAAGTCCATTTCACTTACTGGTTTAGTATTGTCAGTTTGTTGTTTAAGTATCTGTAGTTCCTGCTTAATTCTGTCAAGATCAGACAGTTCTTTTGGATCCTTGTTAGCACTTTGTCTATATTGATCGGCCCATTTTTCTTTCAGGATCCTCACTCTGTCGTTCAAACGGACAATGCTTGATCCGTTGTTTATTGCCGCTGATGTCTGGTGCCAGTATTGTTCAACTTCAGCTGTCAGCTTGTCAGCATATTCTTTAACTGATACAGTTAGGAATTCCCGGAAATTAATTTTTACAGTACTATTGAACTCCTGCAATTTCAATTTAAAGAAGGTGCTTGCGTCATCTGATCCAAATCTTGGCGAGAACGTAGCATTGTTTATATTTGCGTAAACAGGTAGGGTGTCCCTATCGAATCTTCTAATGTCCCTTAGTAGAGTCA